GTTTCACAGAGCCGAATGAATCGAGAGAACGGGAGGAGTGGAGGAGAGACCTCGTCGCATTTTAACTTGCGAATAATACCGGTGAACGTTCGTCCGTCGACATCAGTTCTTCACTCTCGTTCGTCCCGTTTCGCGTGTCGCACTGGAAGAGATTCAGAGTCGAGGGACGGTTAAAACAGGCCGGGGAAACCTAAGGCAGTAAGGAACAGAAGGCAATGGGAGGAAGATTTGACAATAGGGGAATATCAGACATTCTACTTATCTCGCTGGGGAGAAAAAGATATTTTTCGAGAATTCTCTGTCTATCTATCTATCTATCTATTTCTGCTTTCTCGTTGCATAATAGTTGTAGAGGATTTATTGAACGTTAATTTCGCCGGAATGTCTCTTATGTGGATTAGTTACCTGAAGAATAAAACTAAAAAGAAGCACGTTCGTAGACGAAGAGTAAGTGACGTTCCTTATTTATTTTTTTAACTATGTATTTGTCATACTATTGTGTACACGATGTACACAATTTTTCTTCTTTACTTGTGCTCTGGTAGTGGATACTTTGGTGTGATTGTGGTGATGATTTTGGAATGCAGCATGTAGAAGCTTCAATGGTATTGGTTAACAATCGAATACCGTGTAGTCTCAACGTAATACGTCGCTCGAGTAGNCCACGCCGGTTTTACAGAAATTGTTCGTGGCGCCACGATGAATTTTCTTTTATGCGATACATATAACGTTGAAATATTATCTGCAATAGATAAGTTACAGTGTATAACCATGTTTGACATGTTAATTGCGACAGGGATCACTGTTTGAATCGACGATGGTAATAATACAAAATTTTAGATATTGACATTTCTTTTAAATTATATATATTTCTATCAATTTGGGCACGCCGGTCACCGGTGGCCCCCATGGCGTCACCGCCAAGTTAAGTGCCGATCACCGGTGACCCCCGTGGCATTCAACGTGTTAAAATGAGAAAAGAAATATCCCAACTTCTAAAACAATTTATTTTGAGGTGTAAACGACGCGTGTCCAACCGTATGCATATCTAACAAGGACAAAAATATTAGGGAATAGGGAAAATATTAGGGATTAGGGCGGCGGCTTGCCTCCACCTCCAGCCGCGCGGTGCCACGCGTCGTAATCCAGCGCATCTTTCTAGCCTCTTGTTAACAACTTTAATAGAGGCTATTTATCTCAAAAACTATAAGCTGCCTACCCACAAAACCGACTATCATTGAATTCAGCTTTATCAGCTCTATCGCTGCACCAAATCTCATCAAAAAGTGAGCGTCAACCTTGGGCAATGTATTTATACGTTTCGAAGTGATTTATCGGCGGATCCACTACTTTTGTGACTCCCTTTTTCTGGTTGTGGTCATCGGTACGGTTCGGACAATGCTACTCATGAACGAGCCCACCGTCTGGACGCGGTTTACGTGCGCGAAAAGAGATGTTTCACAGAGCCGAATGAATCGAGAGAACGGGAGGAGTGGAGGAGAGACCTCGTCGCATTTTAACTTGCGAATAATACCGGTGAACGTTCGTCCGTCGACATCAGTTCTTCACTCTCGTTCGTCCCGTTTCGCGTGTCGCACTGGAAGAGATTCAGAGTCGAGGGACGGTTAAAACAGGCCGGGGAAACCTAAGGCAGTAAGGAACAGAAGGCAATGGGAGGAAGATTTGACAATAGGGGAATATCAGACATTCTACTTATCTCGCTGGGGAGAAAAAGATATTTTTCGAGAATTCTCTGTCTATCTATCTATCTATCTATTTCTGCTTTCTCGTTGCATAATAGTTGTAGAGGATTTATTGAACGTTAATTTCGCCGGAATGTCTCTTATGTGGATTAGTTACCTGAAGAATAAAACTAAAAAGAAGCACGTTCGTAGACGAAGAGTAAGTGACGTTCCTTATTTATTTTTTTAACTATGTATTTGTCATACTATTGTGTACACGATGTACACAATTTTTCTTCTTTACTTGTGCTCTGGTAGTGGATACTTTGGTGTGATTGTGGTGATGATTTTGGAATGCAGCATGTAGAAGCTTCAATGGTATTGGTTAACAATCGAATACCGTGTAGTCTCAACGTAATACGTCGCTCGAGTAGATAGGGTTGTTTTGAAAGTGTATCGGACAACGAAACAACGGGATTTACATTATTTATACACTGTGCAAGTTACTACCTAATAGTTATTGGTAACAGCCGATTAATCCTCGGGGTATGATCATTCGTTGTACGGTAACGGCGTCTTTCGTAACTGCTAGCTTCATCACTAACACTCGCAGCTTCGTCATTGTCGATAAAATAGGAAGATCACTAGAGACCCCGTTACCGGAAAACTAGGTTGTCCTTAACAAAGACGCGACGAACAGTTCTATTTTTAGATTATAAACATCAATGTTCCCCACTGTGCTCTGTCTACGAGTGTGTTACAGATTTATCAGATGTGCCAATGAATAATCAACTGTTTTCCGATGAGAGCAATTTAATTTAAGTGTAATATCTCTTCATAATTGCGTAAAAAGTCGCACCTCGTTATGAATGTATTGGGTTGGCAACTAAGTAATTGCCGATTTCAGTTATAGATGTCTCTCACTCTCATTTTTATGATATCCGTAAATGTTATATTATAAAATTATTATTATTATTATCATTATTATGTTATTTTTTATTATCCGTGAATGTTAGCAACTGGACAAATTGAATGCAGCTGTCAAGGAAAAGCGACCAGAATTGGTCAATCGTAAATGTGTCATTTTCCACCAGGACAATGCTAGGCCGCACACGTCTTTGTCCACTCGGCAAAAATTCATGGATATTGGTTGGGAATTGATGTTACATTCACCATATAGCCCTGATCTCGCGCCATCGGATTACCACTTATTTCGATCCCTGGACAACTCCCTTCGTGGTAAAACTTTTAACGATGATGACGCTGTAAAATCTCACTTAACTCAGTTTTTGGCCGAAAACGATCAGACTTTCTACGAGCGTGGAATTTTCAAGTTGTCAGAGAGATGGTAGAATGTCATCGAACAAAATGGAAAATACACATTACAGATTAAACTGCATTCCAAGTAAAAAAATTTTTTATTTCATTGAACAAATCGGCAATTACTTAGTTGCCAACCCAATATTATTAATGCCGGGTCCATACTGGAGGGAAAAATAGTTCGCGAGCTGTTCACCACCGAAAAACATCAACGTGTTCACATTGGAGCATGCGAACAGCAACGTGGACCCGGCATAAGTAGTCGCGTGCTTTTGAGTTCTCTGGAAATAAATATTACATATGAAGAATGTATGCTGTATGTGTCCGCTAAAGGCTCAAAATTTTAATATTACACTCACTCACCTTGTTTGATAAATAAAATAACATTTTATAACTATAAACAAATTTATAGTTTATAAATTGGAATTCTACTGTAATATTAAAATCATTGAGAAGCGGAGTACGTATGTGTTAGCTTTGCACAAGTTCTGATTTCGAAACTAAACTTTTCTCTCGTCTGGACTTTTCTTTTTATTGGTCGAACAAAATGTCGCCCAGGGCTAAAAATACGGCACATAGGATAAAAATGGGAACGTTCCTTCAGAAACTAAATATGTATTCTGCAAGCCGGAAATACGCTTGGCATATCGGTTGTTGTGTTAAAAAAAAAAAATTAAATTTATCGCGAAAATTAATAGAATTATTAACTCAAAAGCGTAAGGACCACGTAAAATACGTGACAATACAAAACGTCGATTGAATTATAATGTCACATTCGGTCTGGAATCAATTAAGATCTTGTCCCATTCCGTGCTATTCTCTTCCACGAGGCATCGCGCATTTAATCGGCGGGTCTCGTAGGAACGAACAAAATACTACGAGCCCTTTAAACGTAGAGAACAGACGGGAGGACGAAGACAAAAGACGAATCGCTGTTCTCGCCCACGCAGCTTACTCTTCATTGCGTAAATTTTTCTCGTTAACTGCGCTTAACAGCGTGCTGCAGACCAAGAAGCAGCAGCAGTTCGAGTTATTTCCAGCAATCCATTAATTCCTGCCGTTTTGTGTTGCGAAATGGATATTCATCGGACAAATAGTAATCGAAGTCTATAATGCGTATCTCGCTTGCGTTTTTCTTCTTTTCTAAAATTTAAAACAAGCATATAATTTATATATTATATATACTATTGGCAATCGGGAACCCGTGTTCCATTGTTTTAGAGGCGGTATTAAATTTTTTTTAAAAATGAAGATACAATATCTTACATGTACGTAATATTATGTAAACTTAATTTCTAATTATATGTTATAAATTACTTGAAATATCTTATAAAATATTACATATTGGTCAATGCAAGGCTTTTATTAAAGTTGATTCGCTGGCATCTGGATAACGTTGGCGATAATCTTTTAATACCAGTACCGTACCAGGTGAACTTCTACCTTATCTAATTTCTGACGGGACACGGGTATTTCCGTAAGTACCTGTTCAGGATGGGGAAAGTGAGTTCACCCGACTGCCTGCTATGTGGCAGCACAGTGTACTTCGCGGTGGATCACACTGGAAATTACTATCGGTGTGATGCTAAAAATCAAGGGCGACTGGGGCCTTGTGGCGCGGTATGTGGAACGCTTGTCGTGTCGTAATCGCGAGGAGGATTGTGCGTCCGGGTGGACTGCTGAGGCCTACCAAAGCATTGAAATGTGGGGCGCCCGATAGCACAGCCAGTAGCACAGCCCCGAAGCTGAAGTAATGCTACCGCGATTCGGGCTTCTGGGACTATTTGTGCGAGAGAGGGGGAGGCTTGGGAGGTAGGCCCGAGGACAGAAGTCTTGGACTCGGGGAGTCCCCCACCCCGTACGTAAGAGCATTTCCCCTCCTCCACAAAAAAAAAATAATAATAATAATAATTCGAATCATTAAATGTTTGAAATTGTTCGTAACGTTTCGTTGTGGCTTTACGCGTTCAGTTTCTATTCATTTATTTATTATTGCAGATGAGAGACGATCGAAGAACATCGATGGAAGGCGAGAGACTCAGCAATAACAGCGGAGGAATAATCGATGGAAGCGGAAGTCGTCCTCTTTCACAGACTTCCAGTGAGATGGACACTCTTGGACCACTGCAACCAGTCAAACATCGCGAAAAGGCAAAACTGCAGGTATCTTAACCTTTTCTTTTTACGTATTCGTTTTCTCGCACAATATGTGAAACAACATAAACCGAATAAATTTAATTTAAACTTACATCGAATCATACTATTCCGAGAAATGAGGGGTTCCTGAGATCATTTGTAAGTAACTTTTTCCTTAGTGAAAATGCAATCCGCGGCTGCGTTTACGAGTTATTAACGAGAAACACTGACCGATAAGAGACGAAATCAGGCTCGTAACAGCCTATATACGCTACATTCTGAAATGGCCTGAATTTTTTTTAAATGTTAGATTGACTTGTTTTTTCAACTTTTCTATCGGAGATTATGATACAAATTTCAACAATGCGATTTGTAGGTCTCGCTTTTTCATGCGTGTTGAAAATTGCATAAAAATCGGCGAAGGTATTATAAAGCTACTGGTGGAAGTTATTAGTCGAAACGTGTGAAAACCTGTGATTTTGACTATCTTGTGAATTGTTTCTAGCAAATTATAGAGAAAATATCGTAGGAATTTTTAACCAAATACAAACTTTACTCGTGGTAGACTTTATACTAGCAACTGGAATACGACAAGAGAATGTGATTTGAAAAAATTTAATCAACTCGATATATTATTCGGTTTTGACGCATTGAGAAATGTGGAATATATCAGAATCAACGGTCTAAGCGCGATTCTATCCGATACATACGATGAAATTATACCGTTAGGCTCAGTTTAAATATGGCGGCAGAAATGTGCGTACATAGTCCAGATGTCTAGCTTCCTGGAATTGTATAACCAGTCGCAGTGACTATTTTCCCTAATGAAAGATCTTTTGTACTTGCACATGATTAGACGAAAGGTTAAGGGTCACGAAGAGGATATTAGAAAAAGTCGTTGAAAACGTACGAAAAGTCTCCGTCCGTAACAACGAAGATATTTCTTAATGGCATAAACATGTATACATAATATGCAGTTTTTTCATTTGTGTGCTATCCAGAGTATATCATGAAATACTGGTTACTCGGAAGAAAGTGTTTAGACCAGCAATAAAAGGATTTCCGAAACTCGCAGAACTTCTTTTTGTCCGAGCCTATAGCTTTTCAACTTGTGACAACTAATGCGTGCGACATTTTTGCATTACAATTGTAAAAAGTTAATCATTTCTTCGGCAACTACAGACTGCAATGTCAAAAATTTCACCTTCAAAATTAGCGAATATCTGCCGAGGGTAAAAGTACCCAACTCGGGTAAAAGTATACGCGGTAGCGTTCGTTATCATGTACTTGGTGTCGATACGCTGCTGCGTATTTTGATAAACATTTCTGCTGGGTCTCAACAACAATGAATCGAATGATAACTCGAAAACTCTACACTCGAATCACACCCCTATGCCAGCAGGCTCCCATCGAATCAATCCAATTCTATTTTAACATCACACATTGCGTAAACTGTCTATAGAAAAGCGGTGACGGCTGACATGTCCAACAAGATTACTATTTAACCCGTCACTTCGTTTCATGGTTTGTAAATTCGATGATTTATAAACTGTGCAGAGGCCACTCACAAGATACCTCCCCATCAAGTCGGAGTTTCTGGACCTGAGGCATCATATCGAAACAGCCGGGCACCAGTTACCTCTAATACACGATGTCACGGTCGATACGACTAGTTGCAGCGGTTACTTATCGAAAATGAGCAAGAAGTTCCATCATTGGAATAAACGATGGTTCGTTTTTGATCGGAAGAGGAAAACCCTGGCATACTATAGCGACAACTCCTCTAAGAAGGCACGAGGAGTGATTTATTTCCAGGTATGATTTTTATTCGTACCGTATCCGTGCAGGACTCGGGGCACAGTGGAAGTCTGTTTATATATGATGGTTCGGAGACCAGCAAATGGTATAATCAGGACGTTCGCATAAGAATTCACCGATTACCCGCTACCGATTACACTCCGCGACAAAGAAAGCACACTAAATAATTGTATGGACATTACTTTCTTCATTCACTGTGTCAGTGTCACGACGAGTAAGAATGGGCGGGAGGGCCGTCGTGCTTCAGTAATCGGAAGTTTAAAGTAGCATATTGTTTTGATTTTGGTTTTCATAACTTTTTGTAAGATAAATACATAATATGAAAGAATGCAAAAAGAACAAAAAGAACAGAGAGACTAGAAAGAAGAGAATAAATAGAAAGAAATTAAAAAGAATACAAAGAGTACAAAAAATGCGATACAAAGAATGTCTAAAAAATCATATCATTTCAATATTGTTTAGCTCCATCTTTTACTTCTACAATTATCAGTAAGTGGTTAGGTATTGATTTAAATCATTTTCTAATCAATTCCTATAGTTTCTGCTTAATATTGCATTCTGTTTCTCGTTAGATGTAATCTTTAAATTCCAGAACAGTACGGATTTTCTCCTTACAACACATTTTTACTCGTTTAGCAAAATGTGCTAAGCGATTCTTGATGATCTTGAAATTTTTTACAGTTTCAATTCTTAATGAATTGTAAATAATTTTGCGACTATAATTAAAATTAAATTTAAATTTAATTGAAATCATTATTTCGCTATTGTCGACTTTTTTACCACGACACCAATATTAAATAATACATGTGCAATATTAAATATTTGCTTACGCCTACAGTATAAAGACTTGACATTGGATGGAAAAGATTGAATTTGTAGCTATGGTATTAATTTAGCGCATCATAGTTTCAGATCCTTTCGGAAGGGAAGCAGTAAAGCAGGTTGTAAAAGTGACACGTCTCTTGATGTGTAAGAGGCCAGGTTACTGCGGCCTCCACAATGAATTAAACTTTAATGTGAAAAAAATAACTGGGAAATCTATTATACAAAGGTTTCAAAATATCGTTCGATGTTCAGCATGTCGAACGTACGATAATCGCAATCTGGTGACACACAAGATCGCTTCAGAGTAGGAATTCGAAAATCGACCGATCATGGAGAACGCTAGATTCGGCAGAGCAAAAATCATAACGATTATCGCCGCGCTGATGTCGACGGCGGTAGGACCGGGGGGGAGTGGGGAGAGCTATTACTTGTACCTACATGCGAATACGTGAACACACAAAAGAACACGGCTACCGAGGTTCTAATATAACGAATTCTTCGGTACGCCACGGCTGGCATTGTCTCGCTCGTTAATTGCACGAAATACAATTCCGTGTCAAACAGAAATGAATAAAATTACACAGTTTTTGTCGTAGACTGTACAAATAGCTTTTACGTATAGAGCAAACTTTTATTCACTGAAAAAGATCTTGGAATATGAAAGTTACAATGTCTTCTAAGCTGAACGAAGTCCCTTTCATATTAAGTTTCAAAAAATTCAAATGTTTGATTGTATTTTTTCAGTCCATTGAAGAAGTATACGTGGACCATATGAACACCGTACGATCGCCGCAACCGTCGCTAACTTTCATCATTAAAACGTCGTCCAGACTTTATCATTTAATGGCTCCGAGTCCAGAAGCTATGCGAGTCTGGGTGGACGTCGTGTTCACAGGTGCCGAGGGATATCACGAATTCGATCACGGCATGTGATGAACTGAATGTTCTCACGCCTCTGGTCAAGATTCCTGTTGCAGGTTCGGCGTCGAAACATGTACCCCGATCCTTTTGTAGCCTGTAGGCTCAGAACTTCAGCTTCGTAATAACTTGAAAACAAGGTCAATTTGGAATAGAAATACAGTGGTCCCGTTTGAAGTTAAACAAGACAAGTCCTTGCGTTTCTACATTGGTGCTGGATAACAGTGTTCTCCGGATGAGTAACCAATAATCGAAAGAACAAAGAACTACTATTTCAAAACACTTGTTTCGATATTTCTGTGAGTGACTTGGGGAATAATGCGTGGTTCTAATTCACAGACCATTAAAATTCTTTAGGCAGCTACAAAATACGCACTGAAGCAATATAATTAATGTATGAAACATAAATGTTCGAAAGAACTTGTCGAATTTTGTACAAGTTCAAGGATAAATGTTTCAAGATGATGACAGCGATGAAGACGACGACGACGACGACGACGATGATGATGATAATGATGATGGTGATGATCATGATGATGATGATGATGATGCAGTCGATCGAATATGTCAAGCAAAGCTTCGATTATTTCTGCCAAGGAGTTTATGTACAAGGGCATTAATTGTGTATGACATGCGAAAAGTATTATTCATTTGAGTGCAGACTAATCACGACATTACTTTATTCAAACGAAGGGGATCTTATAGGATTTACTGTTTAAAGTTCATAGACATTTTTAATCTAGTCTTCCAACATAGATACCATGATGAATACTTTCGAGACAAAAGATCCTCGACAATAGTAGACAACGTGTGTTCCGGAGTTAATTAGAGTCAGGCGTCCCTGAAAAACTGTACATAGATCCCATTTCACATTTCTTACGGGATCGACCCCAATTTTCCGACTTCGATTTTAACGGGTTTTGTAAGCTGATAGTATATGTATAAGTCCCTGTTGATACGTGTAAAATATTAGATGTAGATACTCGGTAATTTTAAAAATTACCGATATAAAATTACGGTAATCTTCGAAACGTACTATGAATATAGATGAAAGTATCGTTGTGTATAAGTTGCGTTGGAGAAATGAGTTGTGTCTGACTTGGGAAATCCAAGGTCCCGGGATCGATTCCCGTTTAGTGATATATACTTTTTTTTTATTGTAACAGTTTATCGAAACACAAAAAAACTGACACTACGAGTACATAATAAATGCCTGTTTGTTGCACTGACATTTTCTCTTTTTATTTCATCCGGAAAAGCCATTTGATACACATTAAAAAGTATCTGTCATGGGGAAACTAATTGGAAGCAATATCACGCCTATTGTAGCATTACCTTACAAAGACCCGCTAAAATCGAAGTCGAACAATCGGGGTCCTTCCGTTGTTAGTGCGACTTCTTTAATGTATATTTCGATACCTCGTGATATACCAAGGATTCTACGAAATCTTCCATATCTTTATATTTCCAAAGTAATTTTATGACACACACGTATATATACGTTACTATTAAAAAATATTTGATCATATTCATTAGCGTTGATGTTTCGTTGTCACTAGAAAAGTGAAGATTGTTCACGTAACAATATTTTAGTGATCAAATATTTTTAAGTGGTAAACTATCACAATACATGCTATAATACATACATATAATTAATTATTGATCTAATCTTAGCCTTCAGAGAATTAATATTAGACGTTCTTGTGCATGGATCTTTTACCGCGACAGACTTAATGGAATTCCCACGCAAAATCTGTTAATATGATGAACTTATTAACCTGTACCATAAGAAAGTGCATTATTGTATTATTAATAACAGACATAGCTTTTTATATGTACGAAACAATTGTTAATATATAAATTACAAATATTATTCAACAGATGTCATTGATCAATTTTAATCAAATAGAATCATTTCAACTCTAAATAAAGTTTATTAAAACTTTAATTTTGTTGAATTGTAAGCTTGTAATTATTCGTACGAAATGTTAATTGTAAAATTTGATATAATTCGTGAACTTTCAGTCGAGCAACACATAAAATACAGATAACGTAGTATACATTGCTCCATCCTCTATAAGCACGCATTATCAACAATCGTATCAGGAGTTGGGCTGATAGCAAGATGGCCTAGTAGCACTAGGCCAATTAGCTAATGAAACGTTCTAGGCATTTTATGGTTGCATAAAAGTAGAGGAACTATACATAGAAAGGGACTATACTGTATTATTATAATTTGTAACAGACACGTTTGTATAAATAATTACATAAGCATAAAAACTTTTTAATCGATCGTAGTATTTTAGATACATTTATAATATTTATAATCTTATGGCTGCCGAAATTTGACGTTAAGAATTTTTTTGATCGTGTCAATTGTTAATTTTTTAAAATTGTGAAGTTTACGAATACGAAATTACTATGTTAATTTCCAATGAAGGCCATGTATTTTACGATCGGATGTATCTTGCTAGGATTATCCTTATATTATTAAATTAAAATAAATTATAAATTGTATTTCATACCATGCGTATGTATTTTTGGATATATTTACAAAAGATATTAAAGCGCTCTTTATTGATAAACTACTTACCCTATTAACCAATGTATAAATACCTGAATATTCTACAAGTACGTATCTTGTACAATAAAACGAATCTACGAATTTACAGTAATGACTTTTATTAACATGTCTCAAAGTCGATATCTATTGTTAAGGCAGTAAATCTATTATAATGAAATAATGTTGCTGTTGAACGATCACATATGTAGAAAGAATATCGTGTGCTTTTAAGTCTATATATTTGTAACTTTAATTTAAAATTATACATTCAAGATACACTATAGAAACAATCTTTAATTTTCTTTCTACTCTTAACGGTTTTACGTAAAAGATGTATAAAAATTATGTTACCATGTGATTTTACAACTCCGGATCAGTGGAGAACTACTAAAAAAATGGACTCCAAAATTGTCCTTGACTTTGACAATCACGGTTAAAAGGTCATATTTTGTTATTCCAACGTATAGTACTCATCGAGAGGAATTTTTATCACCTTTAAACATCGTTTTTTTATGTAAAAGGTTGAATTGGCACTTATGCTTCGTTTTAAATTTTGAAAATGATATGAAAATATATTGAAAAAAAGAGTTTAAATTTTTATTCATGCATAATTCTCTATCTGCTTGCACTGTATGCCGTTGGACAGTCAGTTCTCGATGCTCGACAACGCCATTTGCATTCGATCTGGCAAAAGTTATTCAAAAATGTATTCGAAACTTTCGAACAAAGATACAAATAAAAGATGAAAATTTTATTCAACGTTAAGAATAAATTCCTGCGGAATAAAACTAGTTATTCGATAATCATGGAATAAAGGTACTTTTTCTATTCAAATCATTAATTAAATAATATTTTAAGTGTGTACAGTAAATTCGACGTAATAGTCCCACAGCTTGGAATCGAAAATAGACAACTTAGACAAACCAGCCGCAAAAATGTTCATCTCGGGCCGCGAGTTTGACACCCCCTGCTCTAGAACGAGCGCCGGGAGCGAGATGTCCCCCCCACCCTGCGACGGTCCGGAGAGCTCGGGGCTATTCCGCCCATGCCGGACAGTCCTCCAACATGTGTTGCGTCGGGCGTCGCAGTGATAGCATCGCGGCGATGCCTCCTTCCTTATCCTATGCAGGTAACTGTCGAAGCATTCCTGTCCCGTCAGCACCTGCATGATCCTGCACGTGATCCTATTACCCCGGCCTGCCCTCCACCATTCCTCGAACGAGGAGTGAACTGCGAACAGCAGTCCTCCCTCGCCCCTTTTTGCGGCAGTCACCAACCCCAAGCCACCGCTTCCATCTTCGGACCGCCCGCTCTTTAGCGGCGATCCGCTCGGTTGTCATCTCGGCACTCCTCCGATCCGGAGGTGGCGATCACTGTTGAACGTGTCAGCCAGATACGCCGCCCCTAAATCGAATGACAGCAGGCCCGATATTAGCATCACCTTCACCGTCGGTAAGGCGAGGTACCCCTGTACAATCTGCAGCGCCACCTTGCGCTCGAGACAACCCAGGATGGTGAATGGACCGCCCCTCCGGTATACGCCCAGACCGCGCGCCCATACAGGGGCCCCACAATGGGATAATCCCCGCACCACCCCCGCGAACAGACGACGCGCTCGTCCACCCGGCGCCCCCAAGTTCGGGAGAACACAACCGAGCGCGGCGATTGTCCTTTCCACCCGAGGCGTCAGTAGGCCGAAATGTCGGCCGAAACTTTACGCGCCGTCCAAGATCAGGCCGAGATACCTGAAACCCCTCCCCACCATAACGCGACCCACCCCAAAATCAAATATGCACCGGGGAGGTATCCGCGACTGACCTCTGCCATGGAACCGTATAGCCTCCGACTTGCTCACAGACGCCTCTAGGCCCAATGCCTCGATCGCCCCTATGGTCCGGCCCGGCCGTGACACTTGTAATCAAATTGTGGAATCTCAGAATCAATATGAGAATATAACATTATACAATAATAAACACTGGTTGATTTACAGCCTTAGCGCTGCGCATGTGTATTATTGGTAGTAAATTACGTGCACTTATTAAAGCAGCGAGGGTAACCGTTACTGCTCGAAAATGATCGAGGCTGCTCGAAACTGCTCGAGACTGCTTGATACTGCTCGAAATTACTCGAGACTGTTCGAGGCTTCTTGAGACTTCTCGAGACAGCTAGACCGCTCGAGACTACTCGAGACTGCTAGATTACTCGAGACGACTCGAGACTGCTAGAGACTGTGCGAGACTGCTCGAGACTGCTCAAGACTTGTCAAGAATGTACGAGACAGCTAGACTTTTCAAGACTGCTCGAGGCTACTCGAGAAAGCACGAGACTGCTTGACACTATTCGAGAAAGCACGAGACTGCTCGACACTACTCGAGAGTGCTCGTGATTGCTAGACTGCTCGGGATTGCTCGAGATAGCTCGAGACTGCACGAAACTTCTCGATACTATTCGAGACTACTAGTGAGTGCTCGTGACTGCTAGACTGCTCGAGACTGCCGCAGACTGCTAGACTGCTCGAGACAGCTCGAAACTGCTTAAGGCTGCTCTTCGAAACTGCTCGGGTCTGCTCGAAACTGTTCGAACCTGCTCGTAGCTGCTCGAGGCTCTTCACTGCATAGATTCAATAAATCTCCTGCGCCTGTTAGCTGGTATCGATTTCCATGATTCTTGTACAAAAGCGTTTAATCGTTCAATTTTGTATATGTTTATCTATATCAATCCACAACATTTTCATAGGATTTAAGTCCGGGGAATGTGTTGGTCTCTTCATTACACGCATGTTATTGTCATTCAAAAAGTGATCATTATCCGCTTGGTAGATCCATTTTTTGGCGACTTTTAAAAATACAAGAATACGTTTTCAATGTGTAATATTTTGCTTGACAAAGACTTGGCTGTAATTCTGATTTTTGTAACATGACGTATGAAAATGAGAATTCGCATGTAGATCCGCAGTTTAGTGAATGTAAACGCATTAGCCCTCGCTCAAACATAATTAACTTGCCAGTAACGGAAAGTATGTTCTGCCTGCAATTATTATTTTGTTAACCTTATCGAAACCACGGAAACGTGTCCTTGATAAATGATGTTAAGGTCGCGGTCATTGAAGGAGGGTTCTTTGGACAGAATTTTTATCAGTTATTTGAATAAAAGCAGTTCTAATCCCTTACTTATTCTTTGAAATGGTCGCTAAACGAAACTTCAACTGTATTCTTCATGGTTCAATGTTCTGTGTATCAACTTTTACTACGTTTACTCACTGTTATCTAGTTATTATATGTATACTTCCTGTGATTCAACAATAGATTTATATCTTTTGTGTATACGTCGTTTGCGATAAGAAATACAAGGAATAATTGAATTCTCGGATACAAGAACGGACTGAAGACACTCGAGTCCTTCTTACGTAAAATGTACAAATCGATTTTTCATTCCATTCTAAATATATCTCGCTAATTTTATCGCGATAATAAAATCTTTAAAATTGGCGAAGTTACGGAAAATTTTATTTCGACGTGCGACGTTCACGAATAAGGTTGATCGTCGTGTTTCGTACCGCTGCGTCTGACAAACACGAATCTTTGGTAATGGTCTATCTGTTTGATCAAGTAAGCATCTTCTAGTATCTTTTTGTGCATTGCGAACGAAAATTTGTGCTAAAATTCGGAGAAATAGAGTCATCTAGTTCAGGCTACATTGGTGAATAAGTTTCACGAAGATCTACAAAATCTGATCGAAGGTAACTTCGTCAAGAGTATACGTGAAAAGGTAATTATAGTAAAAGGCGAAGAACTCAAGCGATGTCATATGAAAAATTAAGTGGATAGATTGCAAATAAGAAGACTTTTAATCCAGTCCTTACACGTTGTTCCAACAAGTGTTACATTAATATCCATTCTGCATGACAGAAAGAATTGTATGTTCAACCAAAAAATTACAAAAGTTTCGGTGGGTATAGGTAGGTCATTAATTAACATAGAAATACAGTGGGACCGGAGCGGGTTAGAGAGGGAGAAAGAGAGAGAAAGAGAGAGAGAGAGAGAGAGAGAGAGAGAGAGGAAAGGATCTGGGTGAAGGAGAGAAAGAGAAAGAGAAGGTAGGAATCGAGGCTGTCGGTGAAGGCGCAACGAGTGGCACGTTCAGTCGTCCGGACCCGCTCGGTCGGTCTAAACAGACGGTATCCGATGGTATTCTCCGTGATCGCGGTGACTCTGTCAGGTCTTCGATCGTGTAAATATTTCTCTTTTTAATTGTGTATTTCACCTGGAAACAATCCGCACGAGTAGGAAGGATACGGAATTAGAAACGAGATCTCGAGGATGAGTCAGTGATATCACTGTTAAATGCATCGACTTCTCCCGAGGATAGGCATCAGGTGAGTTAGAGGAACTTATTATGCTTATCGGAACAACGTGCTTCTAACGAGCTTCGCGACGATAACGTTCGTACCTTGTACCACGCTGATTAGCGATACGCGGCCGGGTCGGATTCGCGAATACTAGTAAATTTCTGAAAAAAGAAAGAATACTGTTTACATTTTGTTCAAGATTACAGTCTCGCCTGTGGTGATAACGATAAGGCGATGCTAAGCATCTGGATTCAGACAGCTGTTTAAATGTATTTCCAATCGCGCGTTTGCGTTTGCCGCTAACAGTGAGATCGAAGTATTCGATTCCTTTGACAGAACTTATTGTAACTGTGTTTCTTAATCGGTCTCGCGATCGCGTTGCGGTCATGCTCTATAGTCACCGCTAATTTGTTTCCTCGATCAAGGCGAACATTGTTCTGTGACGTACGTGTTAAAATAATCTCATAGGAATTTCATTCTCTCGCTTGTGCTCTGTGAATCGCTGCTCGCGGTTCTCTCGTCGTAAATGTCTTTAGCCGGGTCTCACAAAAGGGAAACCATGGGAACCGCCGCGTAATCATATTATTCATAATTAATGAGAACACTTTACGATGGTTCCGAGACGCCACCTTAATCATGTGAACGATAAATTACCACGAATTCGAATTCGGCGATGCCGAGCTTAAAGCTAATCCGTTCTCTTTTTCTCTTTCTCTCCTTCTCTCTCGCGCCTTCTTTTTCTTTCACGTGTTTACTGTTATCCTCGGATAAGTATGAAACTCGCGGTACCTGGACCATTTGCATGATAAATAATTAGCATAGAACATGAAGCAATTACTTGTATCCTGAAATGGGCTCGTCACGAGTGACTGGATAACATTATACATGATTTCTTATGCCTAAGAAATCAGATTCACAGTTTTTTTTTCTAATAAACACAGCTACTTTGCAACACCAATCGAACGTATTAATGTCGTTATCGATTCGTATGACACATTCCGTTATATCTGTTTGCAACATAAGAGTTTCGACTCGTTTTCGAAAGTGAAACGATTTTCCGCGTAAATGATTTACGCGATAAATATAACACTAATGGAAAGAAATTGCCAATCCGATAGCGATACGAGTGTTTTTCCTGAAAACATATATGTACTGATCTCATCGTTGTGACTAATCCAACGCTTCGGCAAGTATCAAGATCATATTTACATCGAACGAAGATGAAAGAATTTCTACGGTTATTTTCGTGCGCTCCATGAAAAGATTTTATTTTTTCACCAAGGAGTCATACTATAGATAGTTGTGCGAACGAATTTTGAAACAAGGCGTTTATAAGTGATTCGTCAGCGATAAATAAAGAATTATGAAATTATCGGGAAAGCTGTCAAGATGGAGGAAAACGACTGGATGTAATTATGTAGAATTCAATCAACTGGCTGAGAGAGCCATATTCGAAGAGCTTATTTGAAGAACCGTGCAGCTACTGTTAAGCCAGTCCCTCCTTTTTCACCTCTTCAGCTGTAGCAGCGTGGTCTCGACCAAGGGGACACTGTAAATTCTAACTCTCTGTAGTGTTACATTCCTAAGATGATTTAGGTGTGCCCCGCGGTTCCCCGCGGTTCTACTCCGAGTCGACATCTCGATAGAAGTCGATGCTTTTGCTCGTTAACGACTCAACACAGAGCTCTCTCTCTCTCTCTCTCTCTCTCTCTCTCTCTCTCTCTCTGTTTGTTTCTTAATATTTCATTGTGGTCTATCGAGAACCCGCCAGTTTCGTATCGTAAACATTATTGTTTCTTACTTTCAAGATTATACTTTCAAACTAATACGATAATTTAACAAAATACACAGAACTCTCGGTCAAACGGTATTTCGACCAAAGGGGTTAAGAAACGCCTACTAAAATTTTAATGCAACACTATTTTTACCAAACGAGGCGGTAGACTCCTTTCGCAATTTTATTTCATTACTATTTCCACCGAGGGAGTCCAGAGGACACCTTTCAAAATTTTAATTCAACCCTGTTTCTATCAGAAAGGTCAAAGGTCATCTTTCAAAATTTTAACTCAACACTATTATTATCAAATGAAACACACAACAGACACCTTTCACAATTTTAATTCAACGATACTTCAACTAAGGAAATCAAAAAACACCTTTTAACGTTTTAATTCAACAGTATGTTTACAAAATTGGTTCTAAAATATTCTTTTCTCTAGAATTTTATACGTTTGTCGGTACGAACTCTAAATTGGATATGAATGACGCATCTTTACAATGATTGTTAATATCTGAGACATATTAAGTGAATGGGTGAAAGAAATACGAAAAAGCCCGAGTCATAAATGTTTTAAATTGCGAAAATTCTTTCGTTTTATAAAGTGTCGATTAAAAAATATAGCAAGTTTCGTTGGTAGTTTCGTAAGTGAATTAAAATTATTTGAGCTGTTTTTATAGACATTTTGTTGATCGCAGAAAAGCCTACGTCATTTATAAGAATTTGTAATCGAATAATTCAAAATAAATTGACACGATGAATTGTACATACTAAAGAAATACGAATCTTCGCAAGAAGTTAATTACGTTGGATATGTGTAAATCTCTCCATCGGCAATCTCAATTGTCGTTGTTAGTTGTATACGCTATTTTGCACCTTCCGATTCGCCTATTTGTAATAACTACGTGAAATTAAAATATTTTTTATTCCGTAACAATACAGTATGTATGTTGTACGTAAGTATGATGAATATGATGTACGTAAGCATGACGAACGTGACTTGGAAAATGATTTGCGTTACTCGCAAGACAAATCTTAGTTATCGTATTCCACCATTTGCATGTTAAAAATAATGTTATTGAAGCCGGAAAAAGCCGCAAAGACAGTGTAAAATATTGACAGGAGTAGTAACAACGTTAACATGGTATTGTTCGCACCTACATATGAAATTCTTGTCGGCATTGCCAATCAAAAATGATGCAAAACAATAGTTTCGTAACTATTTTGGTTTTTAAGTCGAAAAAGAAATAAAATCCTAAGTACTTCCTATTAAATAATTAGCGATGCCTGTGTCGTCAGTGCTATAACAAAAACAGAACCCTAGCACCAAACAGGTTTTTATAATCTTCGCATAAAATAACACGACCTTCAACAATCATTTGCCAAATACACTGCAGAGCAAAGAGATCTGTTATCGGAAAATGTGTACGGTTTCGCAACACCAGTGTAAATTTTTCACACCGGTGTGAATGAATGTAAATATAAGCTGTTGTGTACATTGTCAAGTATACACACGTACGTATATATTTTCCGTAACGTCGCGTGACTCTGGGACGATTAGATGCTCGCTTGTGAAATCGTGGACACAAGGCACCGAATTAATGAAAAAGAGCTGTAACGCTTTACTTATTAAAAATTTTATAGATAAGTTTCACCTTGTTCCATTGAACTTTCTAGAAGTATGTATTGTCAATTATTTCTCAATTAATTTACTAACTTCATACTTATTTCTGTCTTACAATGCTGTCGTGGCAAAACGAAAAATCTTCTTGGCCAATCTGACACGGTAATGTCCGTTTAACGTTTGCCATTTTGGGTCTGCATTGCGAACATTATCTGACAAGGTATGTAGGTGTTTCGGTTGTTATCTCTCCTCCGTTCGCTCGCTTCTCGAGTGCCTGGAAGACCAGAGTGAGAAGAGTTGAATACGAGTGAAATAGAGAGAAAGAGAGAGAGCTGGTGGGGATAATGTACAGTATTCCCTTGTTAACATCCCGTTTTGATTTCCAACATCCCATGGTGCATCCAATAGTACTCTTCATAGGCGCTGGCTACGAAACGTCACCAACTCAACACGGAATAATGCTTACCGCTTGTCAGCGTCTTGAAACGTTGAGGAAAGCCGCCGAACATGGAACACCATTTCGTTTCTCGCACGTCATTCGTACAAATCAATCGCAACAAATAAAAAATGTTTATGGGCACACATTTAGGCTTTGTTATATATTCAGTCACGTATTTACGCGACAGCTTAAAACAGTTTAAAATGTCCAACATTATAAGCAATTGTCAATATTATATAAGAAATATAAAATAAGAAAAATGTTTTCTCTTTCCTGAATGAAATTGTTTGCATATAATACCACATTTAAAATGGATTTAAATAAAAAATTAGTTATTTAAAATACCGAACATATATCCACGCGTATGGTCATCTGTTAAATAACACACACACATACACGTATCATTATAGATAACATTATTAACGATAAAAAGCAAAACAAATAAGTAAGTAAGAGACATTATTATTTGATTTTGACGATCAAAACAGTTACAGCGTCCGTCGTTGGAAAATCAAACAATAGAGTTTGGAAGACAATGTGTATAGAATTCATTTGCACATCTAATATGTTGTTTCTTACCGTTATCTTAGCGTAATCCTTCGACGTACTCGTCGATATTCCGCTCGCATTAACGGTACGCGTAGTGCGGCCAACGTCCGAAAACGGACGACGATCGAACGCGAAAGAAAATTACCGAATTATCCTGGCAACCGCGCCAGGAAATAGAGCGAGCATTCGACTGCATATTCGCACGAGAAATTTAATGCAACAAGGACGCGGCAAGAGCGATTCGCACCGTTAAAAAATGCAATTATGTCACTGGTCGCGTAACAGGATTTCAAAGTTTTTCTATTACTCACCGCTAATAACGTCGGTATAGTTCGTCTGATAAGCCGAGATTCGAATTCATATGCGATTATCGGATAATTTAAGTATCGCGTGTTACCAAGCAGCACGTCGGAAAGATACCGCACGAAGAAAAATTACAGGTGTTGAGAACGGTGCTCGATTACCGGTGTGCAGGTTTGGGCATTCGTTACACTCGTGATTCCATGATCATTGGCCACGGTTCGACGGAACGAAAGCTTTCCAGTGAAAGTATCTCGACTCTCCGTCTCTCGTAAATTTCTCATACGTGGATCATTCAATATTCGAAGCCGTAAAGAGTTGCGCTTCAATAAACATCG